CCCCCCCCCCCCCCCCCACCCACGGGGTGTGATTTGGCACCGGGTTTTATCTGTCACTGTTTGACACCATTCCATAACCTTCGTATGAGATTTGTCATTTGTTCATGTAAAATCCACCCTAGGATTGAAAGACAATAGCACTAGATCATCGTAAATAGAATCACAACAATCTGAAATCCATTTGTGCTTCTTTTAGTAACTTCTAAAATCAACTCTTCTTAATTATAGTATTATATACTTGCGTATATTTCAAGTGGTTGGTGTAAATTAAAAATTCTTTCTGGTTGCTGTGCAGGTGTAATATACAACTGTGCATCTTTTGGCTACTCGAGTGAAAAAGACTCTTTCTGCTCGATTCTCTTCCATTCGAATCCGAAGAAATCTGCTGCCATAATTTGGCATTGGAATTAACAGTTGCGGTCGAGAGAAAGAAGAGATTATGTATGAGAATGTAAGGTGCATTTCTTTTCTAAAAGGTTTTACTATAGGGAATGAGTGTAGGTATGTTCTTTACCAGAACTTGTGCTATTATATCATTATGCCACCACCTCATTTTGTTTTGTATGTTTTGTTTTTTGGTTGTATGCTTGTATTTTAAGCTTGGTAATTATAGAGAAGGGCGAAAAATAGAATACAATTTTATTAGCCATCGACATAAACGCGGATTAAGTGTAGTTATTGTAAGAATTGCATTTTTGTTTAAAGTGATTTTTTTAAATATACGACACTATTATTGTTGTTTTTCGGTGGATTAAAATTCATCGACCATATTCACCAAGAGTAAATGTGTTTCGTGCAATAATATTATAAAAATAAAATTATTTAGTGCCTAAATTAGAGGTCAAGTTGTAATTTACAATAATCCCATGAAAGATTGAACACAATTCTTTCATTATTCAATTATTATAGTATTCAGATTCTTTCTCTAACCTTAAAGCTATGTCAGGTGGTGTCAATGTGCATCCTGAGGCTTTACTGCAAATAGGAGTGGATATTAAAGAACAGTGCAATATTTATTGAAATGGTGTTTATTTAAAGAAAATTGATGTTTTATTTAGAATGACATGTATCTAGTAATAGAATAATGCAAAGTTTCTATACAATGATCCGATATTTTTTTTGGGTTTGTTGATTATAACCTTACCTTTAATAAAAAATGAAATTATCTCATCTTTTAGAGTTGTTACATGGAACACACCAGCTCTTAGGGTCTGTTTGGTTGGAGGAAAGGGGAAGGGAGGGAAGGGAATCTGACCCCTCCCCTTGTTTGGTTTTAAAACATGGAGGGGAAGGGATCCAAAATTTTAGTTTCAATTCCCTCCCTTCCCCTCCAAATCAATCCTTCCAAATCGAACAAAATCTCCTCTCCTCCTGACATTTTTTTCTTCTTCTGTTAATTTTTTTCACCTAATAAATAAAAAATAATATAAAATAAAAAAAATAAAATAAAAGTAACTAAATAGATAGTAGTAGTAATTAATAAGTAATGCCAAAACAACTAAATAAATAATAAGAAAATAAAATAAATCATTATAGTATAACAAAAAAATTAATAACAACAAATAATGTATTTTGTGCAATTACTCTAAAAGGTTTCTTGCAAAAGTTAAAGGCAAGTTTATTATTAACCCGTTAAAAAGGAGGATTACTCTACACAAATTTTCCTAAGGGTCCGTTTGGTATATAAAATTGACAGGATTAGAACTCAAATGAGAATTGAAATTCTCTGTAATTGATTTGGATGGAATTGAATTCTCCAATTCTAACTCATTTTTGGCATTACCAAATCCATATTTGTGTGCTACCAAACAGCAAAATTGGATTGCTGTGGGACTATTGTTTCAAAAATGATGATTGCTTCTATTGGAAGAAATTGATCCAAGTCAGAGACTGTTTTGCAGAGTGTTGACTGGGTGGATTTGGTCCGGAATAAACTCTCTATACCAAAACATAAGTTCATCATGTGGCTGCTGAGTAAAAACAGACTTCAAACTAAAATTAGATTACCCAAATTTTTGTAGATCGATACAGTTTGTTCCTTGTGTCAAACAGCACCTGAAGATACACAACATTTGGTATGCAGCTGTCCATTTACAGTTGATATCTATAACAGGATATATGATTGGTGCTTATACATATTTGAAGGGGAGGCAACTTGAAAGAAATGACTGACAAACTAGGGAAGGAAAGGAGAAGGCTTTGTTCCATACTAGCAGCAACGGTTTATTTTGTTTGGCAAGCCCGAAATCAAAGAGTGCGCCAAGACTCTCTAATGCCAGTTGAAGTTATTACCCAACGGATTATCTATCATGTTGGAACATATATGAGAGCTAAGGGTGTAACATGCTAGTGGCTATTTTCTGGGCAATTGTAGTTTCTTTGTAGCAGTTATGGGTTCATTGGCAGTATGATTATTGTAATCTGGACTTGGTTGATTTAATATATGTGCATTTCGGTTATAAAAAAAAGAGTAAATTCCATAATTAGTTCTTTATAACAGGAGAGTTTTCATATTTAGTCCTCTATTATCAAATATTACCCTCGTAGTCCTTCTTTTATGGGTGTCTTTCTACAAATGGTCCTTTTTTTATCTTCTGTCATGTTGACGTTAATTTAAAGACTAAAAGTATAAATTGACATAACCTTATGCCCAGTGACATATTCTGATATTGGTTACATGGATAACAAAAAAATAATAACCATGATTGCGGGTTAAGATTCCGACAAAAGACTACATGTATAAACTATGGTTGTATTAGAATGCGATTGTTTCACAAGCGATGCATCAGGAGTGACCTTTGGAATTGTGTATGACAAGAAAGATATATTATCATTGTGAAATTATATTCTTAGCCATCAAGTTAACACTAACATGATAGAAGATAAAAAAAAAAACTATTTGTGAAAAGATACTCATAAAAGAAGGACCACCATGACAATATTTGATAATAGAAGACTAAATAGGGAAACCCCCTTGTTATAAAGGACCAATTATGGAATTTACTCTAAAAAACAGCAAAATTGGAATTGTTGTGCCATTCCAATTTCATAGTTTGAATTCCGTGTACCAAACGAAGCTTAATTTTAGTTAAAAATGATGAACTTAATTCAACTAAAAATAAGTTGAAAAGAACCAACTCATAATAAGTACTATTCAATGATATGGTTTCACAATCCACAATAGCCTTTATCTATAAATCTACAATTAGTGACAAGAAACGACTTATTCAATGATATGGTTTCACAAACCATTTGAAAAGAGACTACGAGTGGGGCCCTGCAGGTTTGGGAACTTCCTTCCTCAACATATCCAACACATTCAGCTTATCAATCTTGGCAGCAAGTATGAAATCGTTTTCTGTGAGTCCACCTGCAGAAAAATATATATATATATAGTGCATGTTTGGTGGCATTCTCTTTCTACAAATCAACCAGATTTTTACCACATTTAATTCTTTTACTGTGTAGAAGGTAATTGTTGAAGGTAGTTTTTTGATAAAGTTGCTGAAATGACAAAAAATGGCACTTCTAGTATGATTTTTAGGTATTACAACAACAACCCACAGAAAAGTAGGGTCTCGGGAGAACGAATGTACACAGACCTTACCCCTACTCGAAAGTAGAGAGGCCGTTTCCAAAAAGATCCCCAGCTCAAGCACCACAGGTTATTGCGTATGCAGCCTGACCCTTATGTTCAAAACATAGAGCGACTATTTCCAGATGACCTATGATGAGTGTTGAAAGTTGCCTTAAGTAATTACTACCTAGGTTGCACGGGTTCGGCAGTTTGGTGCCGCCTCCCGCTCCGGAAGCGACGCGGGGACGGAATCGCCGGCGGGGACGGCTAGTGACGTACCGGAAACGGATCTACAGGTTTGGATTCGGCGGGTAGAAATTGGGTACGAATCCAGACGAATCGGGTAGGAATTGGGTACGAATCTTAAATTGAAAAGTTTTTTAAAATATTTGACCAATTAGGATTAGGATTTGGAAAGTAATTTAATTAAGCCTTGAAAGACCTGGATCCGCCGCTTCATTCCTACGAACCGATTCAGAGCAGAGACTTCTACCGCCGATTGCATCTACCGCCGACGGGGAGGGAGTTCAATTCCGGTTAATTGCTTTGCTTTTTCCGGCGACAAGGTAAGC